TCCAATATGGGATTATAGGCTAGAAGGACTTTTGACCTGATTCAAAATGGCCTTTTTTGTGGCAGATACACTGATTTCAGTACCACATGAGTGTTTCATGCCTTAATACAGATCCTCCAGTTTGTAGATGTATTTAAAAACCCTACCAAAACACTGTCAGCCACTATAAATTATACATGTTATATTTTTGTAGTGCTACATAAAGTGTTGTCTGTGCAGTCCTGAGCTGAATCTGCCCCCCGTGTGAATTAGGAATTGAGTAGCTGCCTATTTTCTTTGCCTGTCGTGCTCCCTGAAGCAGGCAGCAGCTCTTGATAGGAAACCCTTAGACCCCCTGCCCATTTCACCATTTTTAAATGTCTGAATACAGCTTTCACTCACCTTCTTTCCCCCACTTCAATAAAGAAGGCTTAAGCTTACCTGACGTGCAGTGAGGGCCAAATAAATTATCTTCAGCACATTTTTCACAGGCTGTCCCACCAAATCCTTCCTGTTAATTACAGAATAGAAATAAAAACTTAAGTTTCTCATCTATCTCTATGTAGATAGATATATGCTTAGCAGCCTGAAAACAGCATCTTTAGCTGCCAAAAGAAAACAACATGAAAGGTTCAATCAGCAAATCAGAGATGACTACTGCAATCTAGAAAACATTGTCTTTTGAATGATTTTTTTCCCTCTCTGTCTTTTTTTTTTTTTAATTTTTAGCTCTTGCACTTCAAATCAGATCAGATGTTCTGAATATCAAGTTAACAATAAAGAACAGTAATCAAGCCTAATGCCCAAATCATTCTTACAATTGTTGTTAGGTTGTATTTTCTGACTACTTCTCGCTCTGTCTCTTTTTTACATGTCCCCAGAAGATGTGCTATTGATGTAATGGAAAGATTAACCAGTAGAGGGGGAGGTAGAAAAGATTCATTTGAGTTGTTTTTCTAAAAACTCTTTTTGACTGAAGTTATTAACCACTGTGCATTGCACTTTCAGCAAAGGAACATTGTATTGAGTGTATAGTCCTAAGTATAAATACTTTCTAATTGGGGTAAAAAGTCATAAGTAATAGCACACTAAAAAAACAGAGGAACTCAAAACACCCGTTTTGGGAAGGCAAGATGGAGGAACTTTTTAATAATTTCATCCAAACATGCTCAAGTCTGTAGAGATAATAGTGTGAAGATTAGTGCAATCCAAGCAAAAAAATTAACTCCAAGGAGATAATCTCTGCTATTTCTGAAATACTTTATTTTAATTTATCTATACATTGTTGTATGTATTATTTCTTAGCAGAGCTTACATGCTACTGTTTTTTTTTGTTTGTTTTGCTTTTTTGTTTAAAAGAAAGGACGTACCTGACAAGTGCACGTTCCATCCCCATTTATACCCTGGGAGCAGCGTCCTCTCCTGTTGCATGGTGATGCAGCTCCTCCTGGACATGCTAGAAATGACAATGTTTAAACCATCAGTCAGCTCACTCTGACTGTTATGCTCCCCTTGCACATTAGGGGTGACAGCCTTGGAGGCTGCAGGGTTTTGGGCCAGACAGGGACCTTGAGTGATGGCTGCTGGTTTGCAGCTGTCCAAATCTCTTCACTAGAATCTCAGCTTCAGCAGACACTGTCGCCCTCTCTAGTCTGGGAACTTAAGCTAGTGTCTGTAATCAAAGGATTGCACAAAAAATAGCTTTCTTACTCTAAAGTGCCACACTGATTCTGTCCCTGCTGATCAGCCTCTATCTGCAGACACTCTAAACTGTTAGCTTTTTTGATATGAGTGGAGCTTGCCTGACTACATCTTCTGTATGGAAATACAACTCTGGTTGAAAATTTGCTGTCAGAATTATATTTGATGCTAAGTTAGAGTTTAAATAAGCCTTTTTTCTTTTCCCCACAAATTGCATTTTCTTTGTGCTGAAAGTTTTTCCTTTCCCCCACTACATCACGTAAGACTGGTGTTTGATTCAAGTGATCTTGGAAATTGAAATTTGAGCATCTCATAACCCACTTCTGTCCAATGGGCTGTGGTCACTTGTAAAATTTGTGTGCCAAAGTTGTGGTATCTCATAACCCACTTCTGTCCAGTGGGCTGTGGTCACTTGTCAAATTTGTGTGCCAAAGTTGTGGTGTGCTCTTCAGATACTCTGATGCTAATAAAATACTCTTGATTATGGGCAGTGCTATACCAGGTGGAGAAAGAGTCTGACCAAAAAACCCAGCCAGCAGGAGAGGATAAGAAACAATGACTGTATTTCCAAATCAAGAAAGGTTAATTTTTGGATGAATTTTTTTCAATAGTCACATTTTTACTGGAAGGTTGCCTATAGGAAATATATATTACAGTAATTTTTAGTCAGATGTTTCTGTCGGCTTTTTTCCCCTGTAGGGATAGCTGTATTTTTTATAGTTGTGCAGCATGTCTGTGGAAATAATTTATTAACTCCCTTCCATAAGCTCTTCCTTCCTCTAATTGGAGCTCCTATTGGGTACCATAATCCTGATGCAGGTGGTATCTAAATGTATCAAACTCCTACTGCCCTCATAGGTTCTCTGCTGCACCTTGCTGGTAGATTTATTGCTTATAAAGAGCCTCAGTGGGGGTGGAGATGGGCAGCACTGGATTTATGCTCACACTGAGTAACTTAATCTTGATTTAGAGTGCTTAAGTGATGCGGAAGTTTTCATGAAAATGATTTTGACTTGGACAGAGCAATGAGCAAATAAGGGGATGTGTATATGTATACACCTGACTTCAGTGAAGGCTTTGGCTTTATACCAATCTCGTAATATTTCTTAATTTGTTCCTTAATGATGAGTCTATGAGGTCTGTTGGACCTGAGTAAGCTCTCATTAAAAAACAATAGATTGAAAGATGAAGATTTTAGTGCAGTTTATCTCATGTGTGCTGAAATAAAAAGATTTATAAAGAATTGGGATGAAATAACCAGAAATGAGATAAAGTAATAAATACATATACTTTAATCTTTGAAGTGGCTTTAGTGAATCTTGTTTTCTGGCTACCATGTGATAGCTAAATCTCATGTTTAGCACTGACATAGATGCAAAGTGCTTAATAGTTGCTCTGATGGAAAAAATTTTACGTGCAGTGATGCTTTTATTGAATGTACAAAGGTAGAGAAATAATGAGAAAACTCAGTTTGTGGTATAAATTCTAGGAAAGGATACCCTAAAATTGCTGGCAAAACAGGTTTTTTTTTGCAGTTGATATTCATTACACTTCCCCTTGTCTTCACTGCCTCTTGTCTCTTGTTTTGATACCACCACCAAGGGACAGCTTATCACAAGTGCAGCAAATAACCATATTGTTGTACAAGTTTGGTCAGGCAGATAAAGAGCTTCCCCTGGCTGCCAGGGTCACAGGAGGCAGTGCCAGGACACTAGAGTAATGTTGGCACGGTCACCAGCCGCCACCACAGTGCAAGACCTTTGCTTTTGTTGAGGATGTGTTTCAAAAAGTAGCAAGAAAGAGATGCTTCTGCTTAGCTCTTACAGATGTCAGAGACTGAAGTCCAAATCTTTATATCTAGGCCAAAAGAGCTTAAATCTATCTGCTTTTTTTGCCTCATAGAGTCTAATTCAGCACTTCCCAAGCGTTTTCAAATGCAGCTTCTTGGATTACTTGTCTTCACCTGACTCCCTGCTGGCTGAAGCAGAGGATAGAACTTGTAGAGATGTATTTTGGACTATATAATTTGATAAAAGTAGGTTTATTATTTTTCCTCTTGGCCTTTCCCCCCCCCCCCCTTTTTTTTTTTT